AGAAACAAGAACTATGGGTCTGGACGATCCTCGATCTGCAAAAAAGCTTGACTTTTAGTGGGTTAAATGGGACACTCCCACAAAACCCTTAAAACCTAAGGGGATGGCTGAAAACCACTTCTGGAAGTGAAGTGTCACCCAACTGGCCAGAGCAAAAACTCTGGGAATCCCGCCTACCTTAAGGGGGAGGGGGATGGGTCCCCCATTCCATTTATATTCCAATTGATATAATAATCCCAGAACAGGGAAAAATGGATGCACAAATAGAATTCCTCCATTCCATTTTTAAAGGGGCTGGGGGTCTGTGGGAATGTGCCGCAGAGAATGAACAGATGAGTCCCCTGCATAGCAACTGGCAACTTGACCAGAGATGTCGGTTTCGGCGGGTGCCTGTTGCTGAACGTCTTAGCAGGGCTGGCATTTGAAGGCGTAACCAAACGAACGCTATCCCCAACAAATACATCTTCAGTGGGTGAATCCGATCTCATCCCTCTACCTTCAAGGGCTTTGTTGGAGAAAAGCACCAACAGGGATACGGACCGATATAGCCTTTAGAAGAGACTTGATTGGGCATTAGGCCCTCGAGAAACTCTTGGTCCTTTCTGTATACCTACCACCCCCCTTAGGAACACCAACCAAGAAATGCCCTTACATAGGCCCTGTTTGTTTGGGCAAGAGCTTCTCCATTTAGTTCAGATCGGGGGCAAATCCTCCGCAGTTGGTCCCAGGCAAGCCGATATAGGAGGTAACCAGCCACTCTCCTTTGAGTTGCGGGTGGTTCCATGGCTTGCTGGTGCTCGGCAAACATGAGGGAATGATCCCTAAAAAACAAAAACTTACGGTACCCTTTACGGGGATCATGGGTTCATTCCAACTCATTCCCTACCTATCGCACCCGCTCGATTTGGGTTCCCACCAAAAAACCGAGAAATCACCGGCTCTGCCGCAGCCAAGACGCCGATTCGCCTGCCATCGCGCTTCCCATGGCTTCAATCGCTCCTCCTCACAGCGTGAGTAGCACCACCTGGGTCATAGCTCCGAATCTGTGGGTCTTGGTCAGCCTAAGGAGATTTACTTTCTTGCAAATGTTCCAAGAAGATTCACTGACAACTTCAGGGAATTGGGTTTGAATAGACAAGTTCCTAACAACCTCACAGAATCGAGTTCACACAAATTGCATCCTCGATACTTCCCCCCCTCCCCCCGCCAATGTAGCGGGACCCCCCCCAACCAAACAAAAAACATATTTAAAGTTGTGGGAATCCTTCAAAATGGTCAGGCTCCGGACCCGTGGCCATAACAAAAGACTTGGCACCCTTTGGCAGTTGTTAGAGGGCACCCCCTTAAACATAGGCGAAGGGGTGTCCAAGCAACCGGAGAGGGAACCCGAGTGCGGAACCACGCAGCGTGAATGGGTCCAAAACCCAAGGCTATGGATTGCGGTTTTATGCCCAACACCTACACGGAATCCCCGAATACCTCAGATGCCCAATGGCCAGGGGAAAAAAAGAATCGGCATTCTTTTCCGGTTGGTTGACTTAAAGGGGAACCCTTCCCAAAAAAAAGGAGAAAAGGAAGCAACCCACTGGGCAACTGGGATAACCTTGGTCGCTGTAAACCACGCTGCAGAAAGTTTTCTTGTTGTGGGCTTACTGGAAAACATTTGATCTCCCCATATCTCCCAAAAGCTTCCGAGCGTACTGACCAAAAACCACGTATTCAAACTCTGTGTTTGCCACCAAAATGGTCTTCTCAAAAAGGAACAAGTCCAGGAAATCAGGGAGTGAGATAAGGAATCGTGAGGACCCATTTTGCAACACACGCGCAACAATGCGGAAAGCACACAGCTCCATGACACCAAAGGATTTCAACAAAAGGAGTCCACAGACCACCCCAGATGCGGAGAGACTCGAAGGCTGCCCGCTTCCATTGGAAACGTCAACAGCACCTTCCCCCCGCTTGCTCTACTGGCTGTGTGTGTTTTTTTCAGGCTGCCCGGTTTTTGGGTTGGCTTAAACTAAGTGTGAACACCATGGACAGGGTTGAATGTTCGCTGTACAGTCCACTCAAACAAACCGAAAGTGGGTACTGCATTTCTCGCAATAGGGACCCCAGGCTACACTGGTGTTCCTGTTGGCTTTTCAACTAACCAAAACAAAACGTACCTGCCACCCTGTAGATGGGCCAAGACAAAGTGTGAGACTTGGTTGCTATTGACCCCTCTGCAAACAGTTTAACTTTTTGTGGGCTCAGTGGAAAGCCCTTGAATTCCCCAAGGGTTGAAGTCTTAAAAACCGTTACCATAGCAATGAAAGTGAGACCCTGAACATTCCGTTGCTTCCCATGCGCCCATGCTTCTCATGGGAAGTCAGCATGGACACGACACAAGCAAGAGAACAGACTAAACAAGCATATAGGTGTGTCTTTTCTTGAGGGTACCCCTTGTAGTGGATTGAAAGGACACCCAAAAGGAACACCACCATTTTGGGGGCTCTCCTAAAAAAGACACACTCTTGTGGGTCTGTGGTCCTCCCAAACTTCACTGTCAGCTTCGACGAATGTTGGAGAGGGGGAATTTGTCGGATTCACTCAGACTCATTCAGACAAACGCCCCCTTTCATGTACGCCACGGCACCAACGTGATCCAATGTGTGTCAAAAGACAAGGCCTCCGGATGCTTGGCATTCTCTCGCCACAATTAGTGCGACATATGGGTGTGTTTTGTTTTGCGGTCAGTGAAACCAAGTCCGGGAGACTGGAAACCATTTTTCAGAGCCTTGGATCGGATCTGTTTTCGATTGGAAGAAAAGAGTCAACAATTAAACTCAGGTCCCAAACAAGCTCTGGGTACCTAACGTGATCAACCTGTTGATGCTTGGTGTCTGACAATCGTCCTTTCCAAAACACGCACACACACAAACCACAAATACGGGGTACCCAAAAAGACCCTCTAGACTAGAATCTAGAAATGGCGGGCTTCTATTTGTCGGTGTTCTCTTAATCTTCAGAAGAGCAGTCTTCTTGAAAAGCCCCCTTGCCCACTTCCATGACAGTTGAAACCGTGAACATCAAACCCAGCGGGTTGCCCAAGAAGTAATCCGGTTCCCTGAAACCTGTGACAACCCCCTCCCCCCCGTTCTTCAACCACGGGTTTATCAATCCTGGGTCCACATTGCAGCCTAAAGGAAAATCAAACACGCTTGTGCCTGTCCAAACATGTTTTACTCTCATCCGACAAACAACCTGTTTGGATTCATTCTAACCGTGGGGTTTGCCCCTTTTTGGTGATTGGACGACTCAAAAGGCACCCTCCTCCAACAAAAGGAACAGGTACTGCTGCACTGGAGGCTTGTGAAACCGTCAACGGGTGATTCGGTGCCTGGCTGCTTGGTTGCAACAATGGGTTCCAATGTCGGGGAAATCAATTCATCGGCCCATAATCCGAAACAACCCCTAAATAACGGATCGTACCCCATCTTGAGTTGTGTTTTGCCCCGAGCTCAGTTGGTCGCTTCGTGATTTCGCCTTCCGCATTCCGAAATCATGTTGACCCCATAGTAATCAACACCAAGTTTATTAGCAGGGCGTTGCTCCCCTCCAAAAGTGGTCTGATTCCCCACATTAGCCCTACCCTCCCACCAGCGATTCCATGGTTTGGTGCACACACGCCTGTAGAAAGACGACGTTCCTCTTGGTTAGTTGGCCTTGTTGCACTTCCATGTTACTTGGTGGGAGGGGAACGCCCCCGCAAAAAACCAATGGCATCCGGGCCGCACGGTGCCGGCCCCGGCCGCCAAGGCCGCAGCAGCAGGGAAGGCCGCCGCTTTGGCGCGGGCGCTTACACGGACGCACCACATGCCGCGTCGGTGTGGAACGTGGCCAAAGGTCTGAAGGTTTTCGTATTACACCCTGGGATTACACCCTTGGGAAATGACCCAGAATGGTTCAAAATAACACGGTTTTATCCGGAAATGTGCCTAAATGGGGTCAATACCCAGTGGGTGTATGCCCAGGGTGTAATACAAAAACCCTTAAAAAATGGAGGCGAGCCACGGGCATGTTTGGGCTGTGACTCAAAAAGCATGTGTCAAAATCGCACCGTTACTCTAAGTTGCTCTAAGTGTCCCCGGACTACCTTTTCAACGGCTAAAAGCAAAGCCATGTTTTGCAGGCTTCGTGGTTGCAAGGCAAGGATGGTTTTGTGCGTAATCGACAAAGATATTGTTCCTGGCACTCCGCAGTTCGGGCCTAGACCTGTTCACGTAGCACACGTCAGGTTTGCTTTGAATGAATCCCTCCAGTCAGTGACAGCCTGTTTTTTGTTTGGGCGGTTCTAAAAGGATGGTGGGCCAATCTTTCCATCATCCGAATCCCGCAAGGCAGATCCTCACACCCCGAGTGACGGGGATACGTGAGAAGCTCAGAGCCAAACCACAGACAACGAGCAACCGAAAGAGACGGGTCTGTGGCACAGGAATCAACCATACTGGCCCCAGGCGTTTTTACCATCGGAGTCACCCTTTAAGTACTGACACTGACTTAAACGGAAGCAAATCCAGAATGGACAATCCCCAGAAACCCAACCCAATGGGTAGGATTTGATACTCCTCAAGAAGTCGCCAAGAGCCGTCTGCTGAACCTCTTCTTCGGGGATGACATCGACCTCTGACCACAACAGCGCAGGCTATAGTCTTGTTGTTTCTGGCCACCCCTACGAGCACCGGGCACGCCATGAAGTCTGAACTAGCACTGCTGGCGAGAAAGCAAGCAAGCCCTTCCCCACCTTCCCCTCGGAACGCCGGGAACGCCACAACTCACAAGCTGATGCAGTCGGACCCAAGTGCATAGCCATGTGACATGCTAGATGACAAAGGGAACCTCCCAGTGCCTGGCTCCCTACATGGTGTCGGGTCTACTTGGGCCAATGATGGGTGCCTGGCTCCGCCAAGGATCCCGGGGGTGGATAGCAAATCGAACCCGAACCCGAGAAAGGCGGCGGCCTTGGACATGAAGCCCATGCCGAAGGAGCCCAGTACCCCTGGCAAAATGCGTTGCCTCCAAAGGGTTTGCGATCATGAATGGTTTTTTGTGCATTTGCCTGTGGTCGAAAGTATCGTTGGCAATCCCCCAAACAAACAATCCTGGAATTCACAATGGAAACTAAAACCTGCGGTCCATATGGTGGTCGTATTTTGGCTCACGGAACTCCCCAGTTCAGGGTCAGAAGGAGACTCCTGGTGTGTCTTTTATCGGAAGGCTGCAATCTCAGCTTGGTTTACAAGCAAGCCACAAGGAACACGTGTTTGTTTCTCTTTGGGGGGTGGTCTCCCTATTTTGACAATTCCCAGATGCCGTTAAAACAGACCCAAAACCATGGGGGTTTTCTGGGTTCCTTCTGTCAATGTCGGGTGTGTTTGGTACTGTTTGCACTATTCCGACCTTCTGGATTTCAAACCCAAAGTTGGATTTGCCCATGGCTACTTTCTCAGGGCATTGTCAGATCCAGGCTCGGAAGGTATGGAGATTATATGCTTACAATTAAGCTTGTATTTTGCGGCAGAGCTTCCATACCACCCACTGAACATGGGTGTAGATCTCGCTAATAAAAAAAAAAAAAAAAACATCCAAGGAAGCGCCCTGGGTTCCGACCCTGGGGGTTCGGACCCTGCAACCACTGACCCGACCGGCGAACCGGCGACGGGGGGACGGGGGTAACATCCTCCTATCCTCTTAGCCCCCATAGCCCTCCTTTTGGGGTCCATGACACAAGTTGAGGATCCGCATGAAAGCACTTTCATAGGCGCCGCGAAGCCCGCGAAAAATGGCGTCGTGGTACTTTGCTCGAGCTTTTTCACATGTGAGGGGGCTCCACTGTTGGTGGAGGAACATAAGGGCACATGTTTAGTTGGCTGACTCTATGTTTGGTGGGTCCCAAACAACGCAAAGAGGCAACTGAAGCCAGACCCGCTGGACTGCAGACTTCAGCAGCTGTCATCATGTAGAAAATGTCTCTTTTTAAGGTTGCGGAAATTGGTTGGCTTCAGGTTCCCACTTTCTGTGACGCCAAGGAGATCCCTTAAATGTGATAAAGTTCGACCAAACTAAACGACAAGCTCTAGCAGATCTAGGAGGATGTGACATCTTATGAATCGGGCATTTTAGGTTAGGACACACCAGCCCTCCAGAAGGCTGGCTCAAACGCAGACCTTAAGCATCAGCGGGATTCCACGCCAGACCCCCCCCCCCCAGCCGGAAAAAAAAATCGAACGGGACAAATTCCAAAACCTACCTCAACCCCCCCCGATATTCTACTTTCGAGGGGGTAGGGAACACAGAACACCTTCCTTCCCCACACCGGAAGATTGGATGGTCTCCCTTTGTGCCTGGCCGAGCTCGCCCCCAATACCCGCGGTTTGGAGGCCATGTCCACCCTTTCCTAGGAATGTATTTCTCCTGGAAGACCAGGTGTTTCACAAAATCTCTCAAACACAACGCGTATTTGAAGTAGGGGGAAGGGTAGCTGCAACCGCAATTCAGCGGAGGAATTGTCTGCTTTTCTCTTTGAGTGAACATTTGTTTGAGCTGAGGGTTCTCAAACGCACTTTTTGTGGCGGATGTTTTTTGAAGACAAACATGTTGTTTCCTTTTCTGCGAAAATGTCGAGTCCCCAAGGGACCACAAACTAACTACACTGGACATGTCGACAAACCTCATGTGAGCAGTGGCCTAAACTCATTGGCTTTAGGTGCTACCAACATGGATATAAAGGTTGATACCCAATTAAACCCTTACTCGGTTGCGAAATCTGCGAGGCCCTGCTAAAAATGAGCTTAACTTTCGTGGTTTCATGCGGAAAACCCATTCATTCGTTGGCAAAATGTTCTCAAGTCCTAAGATCCAATCACAATGCACCGGATTGCTTCATTGGTGGCTTGGATTGGTGCTTGGGATTCGGCCTTGAACCCCTGGGTCCCCTGGGTGGGTGCAGCTGTGAGCCGCGGCCAAAATTGATGGTTACCCTCGCCAAAAAACTCCCCAAGAACCTCACTAGGTCTCAGGAGTTCTAGGGTATCTATATGATTGGAACGTGATCTAGGGATTCATGTTCAACCACTTTCCAGGTGGGCCCCCATTGAAATTCACAGCCATATGGCCATGGGTCAAAATCCCGTACCTGCAGTGAACATCCAAATCCCCACTAAAATACACTAAAATGAGTGGTGTGCCTACCCCAAAATGGTACCATTGGCTTTGACCCACAGCCATATGGCTCGCACGGAAACTAAGTAGTCAGTGCCCTGGTTTGGTCAAAACAACATTGAGCTCGTGCCCGTCTCCCCATGGAGCCTAGACGAATCCCTTGCCCCCCCAAAAAAATAAAAGCAAAGAACACGTGGTTTTTCCAGTTTCTTTTTTGTTTCGGGGGGAAGAGTTTGACTCAAAGCACTTTCCTTTTATTTGCGGGGGTGGGAATTGTTGTGTGGGGGGAAGAGAACTATTCTCAGGGGGACGGGACGTTTTTAGATTTTTATTTTCGCCCGAAGCCCGAAGGCACGACGCCATCCGGGCGTCCGGGCCCAACATGGTGCTGCTGCCCACCTGGGCGTTCCGAAACCGCAACCCACCCAAAAACACGGCAACCCTCAACTTGAGTTGATTGAGCCAATTGGATGATGACAATCCTGAGGTAAACCGGGATCCTTACATTGTACACCTGAACATTGCCTTGTAAATGGTGGTTTCCTTGTAGTTTTGTGGAAAAAGCCATGTTTCAACTGGGCAAAATGTATCTTTCAAGGAGCCCTGGTAAAGAATGGTGGTTGAACCCAACCATTGTTTCAATGGTGGCAACTGTCCTTGGGAACCCTCTAGGGAAATGATTTGGGCCAAAACCACCTGTCAAATGACACCCTGAAAACGCAACTTGGGGTGTGCTATGGGCCCGGGTTCTGCATAAGCCCGAGGATCCTGAGGCGAAGAAAATGGTCCAATGGATTTTTCGAGGTAAAGTGCCCTGTTTCTTGGAGGGGCAACTTCCCTTTTTCTCGCTATGGGCATGTGTCAACATCGTGGAACTCCGATGAGATTCCCTTTGGTGTCCCTCTGAAACCAGCCAAGGGGCACCGTCATAAACCTAATGGACAAAATCCATGAAACGCCCGGCACCAGTTGGTATGGATGAAGCCCTCTAAATGCCAACATAAAACACTCAATTACCAACTGGTGCCAAGTAGATGTGGTCCATCCACAGCAAGTGCCAAGTGAGGCATATTGACTTGGTTGCTGGCGCGACGCCTCTGCACAAAGTGTTCAACTGTTTGTAGGTCCAATCCGAAAAATCCCAAAGTTTCCTCCCAAAAATCATTTATTGGATGATTGTGATTTTGTAACGGATCTTTGGACTTTAACAATTTTAAACATGTTAAAGTCCAAAGATCCAGTCCCACATCGCAATCGTGGACATTGGAGGTGTTGGGTGCTGCGAGCCCAACGAATCGCCACAATTAAATGTTGGTTCTCAAAATGGCAAATGGACCCCTTTGAGTGCTCCTCAAAATGAGCACCATGAACACATACGCCAAATTTTCGCACTATTCTTCTTTTGTCATAAAACGGGGCTTGTCTCAAAGGGGAACCAACCCAAACCCAAACAGGTACCTAACCCGAGGGTTCAACCCCCATTGTTGACCCAATTTGGATGACAATCCTTCGGCAAACAATGGTGGTGAAACGTATGAACCCAACCATTGTTTTTTATTGGTGGCTTTGATGTACCAAGCACTTAGCTTGCGATCGGTGCGATAAGGAATGAGAAATGGAATGAACCGAAAGGGGATTCCCGAAAGGAAGCCACCAGTCGGATTCAAGGAGGCATTCCATTTCTCATTCCCCGCCGATTTCGCACCAGCAAGTTAGTAAGGTTATAACCATGGCTCGTGGCTGGGGATCGGATGGGTAACTGGGCATGGTTTTTTGTTGGCTGGGGATTTGCTATAACTTGAGCAACTTGGGTACCTGGGGGTCCCCAAAACCATGGTTGTAAGCTACCGAGGTTGGTTGAACATGCTGTTTACCACTGGACTTGGCCACATCTGGTTTACCCCCCCAAAATGTGACCTTGCCTTGTCGTATTTAGGTCTACCCAAAATACATCATCGCTTTGGCGAAAATGCGTGGAATGCTCCTTCCCCCAAAGTCCCAGAAAACTCGGTTTCTCTTCTACGGGAATGGAACCCATGGTCGATTGATCGGGGAGGTCTCATCTGATTGTTCAAGAAAAAATCCGCATGACTTTCTGGAGAAATGCACCTCCCCTAATTGATCAAGCTGGCTTATTCGAGATCCACATGGGCAGGTTGTAATCGTCCCTCCTCCCCCCAACAAAAGGAACACGTAGTGTTGATTGAACAAAAATCAAATTAAATCAATACTTACATGAACACATCAAGTAAAGACAATAACTGAATAATTAAATATATGAATCACACAAATAAACACATACAACGTAATTTGACAAATCATCATCACCAAATGTATGAATAAATAAATGGCTAACATCAAGAAACACATACATACATTTGTAAATAAACAAGTCAAATCAAACATGAATAATAAACATGGATACATACTTGTTTTCTTTTTAAGAAAAGAAAAATAACAAAACAACAACATGACAAAAACAATAAGCACAATTAAGAAACACATAAGACAATCAAGGCATAGATAAACACATATGAAAAGAAAGTGGTGTCCTGTTCGCCTCCCTTTAAACAAGGCCCAACCATGGAATCCTAAAAACACAAACGCCACGCACGCGCAATCTCTCACGAACCGACTACGAGGCCCCAGCAACGCATGTGGCTGCGGGCTGGAAACTAACCCCTCCAAGAGCCGGATTTCGCGGTGTCAAACGCACTCTTTCGGACGTGTCCAGACATATAAGTCGTGGCGGTCAATCAAGTCTAGGTCCTCCAGTAGAGAGGTTAAAATAAGGGTACCAACTTTTTCTGTAGTCTGTTTTAGGGGAACCCCCCCCCAAAAAAAAAGGGTAAAAGGGCACTACTGGGGGACCTAGAAGTGGGCGAGTATTGCTAATTTTGCCTATCGGAAGCTGGGCCTCCTCCTATCTCAACTTGTGCAGCTAACTCAAGGCATGTTTGGCTTGTATGTTCCACATGCAAAGTGATGCCGAATTGCCTAGGTAAAGGGTTTTTAAAACCAATCTAAACCAGTGGAAGCCAGCTACTTTGAACCTAACTAACCTAAGGACACCTATGTACCTGTGGCTTCCAACAATCATGAAAAGTGAACAAGGCCTTTTCCATGTGATTCTGGCAGCCATATGTTGCGAGCCTTGAAATGTAACACTATGTCGAACAACAACTTCCACCCTTCCAACAATCAGGACTGGAAAAGGGGCCTGTTCAAGAGGATGGTAGTCTCCGAAACCGCTTCTGTCCACTTCCGCGATTGTCGAAAGGAGCCAATACCATGAGTGCAAACGGCAACTCAAATTGACATGGTCAGACTTTGGCAACTTTGTTTAGTGAATCTTGAAACGTAACAGAGACAGCCTTTTTCTATCAGCTATGAACGCATGAAAGTGGACAACGGGCATGTTCTAAAGGATAGTAGTCTTCCAACCCCCTGTAGAAATACTCCAGCTTTGCGGAAAAAAAAAACAAAAAAAAACACTTAAAATGCTTAGACTTTGGCAATCACATTTAGAAACGACAACTAGACATAATGTCATACGCAAGGTCCACCGATTGACAAAAGCGAATCCAGAAGCCTTCCACAAACCTTCCAAGATTTCCTCAAACTTCCCCAAGAGAATCCTCTTTTCATGTGCCCTTCTTCGTTGAAGGTAGCTGGCCCTGGCTTAAATAAAAAAGTGACCGGGGGGGCCGAAAAAGAGACACCCGTGCCTTCCCCAGGAATCGACCTCCATGCTCCAATGTGACAAAAAAATGGACGCCTATGTTCCACTCATCTCAAAGTGGCCCAGGTATTGATGCTGAAACGGTTCGGCTGAAGGGAAATACAGTCAAAGACCCCTTCTTTATTCCATCCCAGTCAAACTCAAAGCTTGACCCTAGCTGTGGCTCTGGGAGAATGAGGGTGCAACCTGGAGAGGCTGGATACTTGGATGCATCGGCCCCACAGTGCAATAACAGGGTCCCCTGTACTCAACCAGGGCTGCCCTGAGCCAGGATTGGCTGATTCACCCCAAAGCTGTCACTGTTAACAAACAGTCCCCAAGTTCAAACTGCTCTCATGGAAACCCGAAGAACTTCGTAGAGGACTTGGTTGCTATTGGGCAAGGGATCTCTAGACTTTGACTTGTGGATTGAAATCAAGTTGGTTGGTTTGCCACTTCTTGCAGAGGGGTAGAGGACTCTCATGACTCCCCTTTTGGGTGGACTTTTGTCTGGGAGTAAGGCAGGTCCTCGTGAGATGTAAGTGTGGGAGGCTTGGCGGCGGTCAACTTTGCGGGCTTCGCTGCCCCCAACCTTCAAGCCTTAAATCACACCCTAGGGAATTGCCCCAAACATTTCCCACAGGGCGTGATCCAGTGGTGTAATAGGATGGGACCGGTCCCGTTAGATAGGATTTTATCAGAATGATGGACCGCCTCTTGGTATGACTTTTCAGAAGAAAACCAACAAGAAACCGAGCTGGAGGTAACCTGAACTTGGGTAAACACCCATGTATAGTGTCACAATAACTTAGTGCTTACTCAACATCTTCTAAGTAGCTTGCAGGTGAACGCCATTTGCAACCAAACAAAAGGGCAAAGGGAATTCCAATATTTTGCGGGGCCCCCTTTTTCCATCGGCGGCGAAATGCGACATGCGCAGATTTTCCATGGCGCCATCCGCTCGTAACGCCGCTCGGTTCGTTCTTAGGCGCGGCCGCTCTTCTTCTTGCGATGGATCAGGATCAGCCTGCGCGTTTGTTGCTCAGTTGACGGAATGCTTGCCGCGATGTGGGTGTCTTAAAATAGGGCTACCCCGCCCCCCCCCCCCCCCAGAAAAAAGGGTGTCCCTTTGGTTTCCCTTTGACCACTACCCCAACAAAGTTGCCCGCAAAGAAAAAGGCACCCATCTGAGTGATGAAACTGGTTACAGTATAAACAATGGTGGTCCCTCCCCCACAAGCTAACCTCAAAACGGGGGTCCATATCCCAAACCGAGATTCCTTTACACACGGCGGCTCTTTGCGGCTTTATGTTCGTCTGCAAGGGAGTATACAAATGTTGACTTCGGATTTATCCTGAGGACCCTACTGGTCAAAAAGACTGGCCGTCCCTAAGTGTTCCGAAGTCAACGTTATATGAGTGTCTTTTTTCGAGGGTACCCTTTTGACCCTTTGAGCCACACCCATGTTACTGCAATCCATGTTACTGGAAACCAAAAGGACAACCACCGTTTTTGGGGTTATTTCCGTTTGGACAACCACCGTTTTTTGGGTTATTTCCGCTTGGACAACCACCGTTATTGGGTTACCCCAATAAGTTTTGGCTTACCCCTGGGTTGGGGTTACCCCCGGTTTTGGGTTACCCCCGGTTTTGGGTTACCCCCGGTTTTGGGTTACCCCCGGTTTTGAGTTACCAATCCCTGGTTCTTGTCTTTCTACTGGCCAGGCAAATTCGATTCGCTTCAACCAGCGCCCAGTTTTCCGGGGCCCGCAGTGTTTTTCTGTCTGAAAAAGCGGGGGCAGCCCCGCCAAACCCGAGGGACCATTCACAAATGATCCCCTGGCAACGAGGAAATGGGCTTCCGCCTTTTTTACAACAGGACCCAAGGGGGGGGGGCACTAAAAGTCATGTTTTTTCACCAGAATATTATTGCAGTGGATGGACGAAATCCCTTCGCACCACTTTGAAACCATGGTTGAAACCATACTGTCTGTTGGCATTTACAGGGGGAAACCATCATTCCAGGGTTCTTAGGTGGTGCAGGTTTCCGTCCATCCACATTGTGTGGGCGTGTCCATGTTTTGGGCCAACGGGAAACCAACAGGAAAACCACTACTTTGGGTCCCCTGAAAAACACGCACCATATTGTCGCTTGCTCATGTCAACATTCCTTAGGGCATCTGTTTTGTTTTTGCGGATATGTGTTTTGGGTGCGTGTCACAGAAAAACAAAGGGACGCCACCCCTTGTTAGTAGGTCCCCAATTTTCACACATCCGATTTGGAAAGGGCCCAACATGTCGCAACAGCCTTGATGATCTCTCTGAGTGCTTTGCAAGGACTGTTGCGCAGCCCCTCCCCAATCTGAACTCTCTTTTTATGAGTGGTTCGTTGATCCCTCGCCAAAAAAAACAACATGTTACTAGACTAGGATATGATATGTCAGTCATGAATCCCTCATGCTCCCAAGCTCAAAGTCTGTGGGTATCGCTAAGCGCCAAGCTTTGAGCTGCAAGCTTAGATGCTGCCCTTGATAAAGTTTCCTGAACGGCCCACTGCGCCCAATAACTAACCCTAGCCTGCTACAAGATAAGCAAAGGGGCATCGACCATAGTTTTGCTTCTGCTTCATGCATTGCCGGTGAGAACGGCCATTTTTTAATAATTGAACTTTGGAAGTCTGGGGTAGGTATATCTTACTATCCTCAAAGAAAATGTTTGGCATCACGGAAGCACGGAACCAACCCTCCCAGAAACCCTCAGGCGGCTTGCCTAGGGGCGTTAAAGGATGCTTGGCTCTTGGGCCATCGGTGTGATCGCAACCAGGGGTAGTATAGACCTGGTTGAAAAGAGGAAATAGGGAAGGCAACAAAAGGAGTTGACTGGGGTCCAAAGATATGCATTTTCTGCATGAGTCCAAACCCTGAAATGAGGAATGTCATCATAGTGGGCATGTTTTACTCTCAGGTGAGCTGCGTGTTACTTGTCCAGCACCCCAGCACTGAGCGACCCCCGCTTGTCAGAGTACTGAGGACGACGGGTGCGCATACCGTGCGCGCACCTCGGAACATAGAAGGCCCCGAGATTGACTGAATGGGAGCCCAGGATTCACCAACCCTTGGCTCACAGATAGGGCGTCCCATTGACGGCACTCTTCACTGTTCACTCGTCAACTTGATGCATTCAGAGTCGCCACACGTGAGAGCACCCAAGCATCTGCGCAAACCTACCTGATCTGCCAACCAAATGAAGCTCCTTCTCTCGCTTGCCCAAAGAAACTGGAAGAAGAAGGTGATTTGGGACTTCTACATAAAGCGGACCAACAATCTAGGGGTAACTGTTCCATTCTTTCCAGGGATCCTTCTTTCTACAGAAACCTCCGGAAACCCAGGGAAACGGCCGGTTTTTGAACAGAACTATGGTTGAAAAGAATGGAAATCAAGCCTTAGAAAAGTTGATTCACTTTGAACAACTTAAGTTACACCATGTATGGAACCTGCACACGCTGAATGGATCCTCTGGCTGAGCTTTGGGGACCTTCACTGAGCGAAAAGGCGAAGAGTTCGACTCGCAGTCCGAAAAGCCAGCAGCCAAGGGGAGCAGAGTGCTACAGGAAACCTGCCGACTTCATTGGGCTCTGAAAAATGATCGAGACACCCACTCTATGGTGGTTTCCCTGAAAGGTCCCCCCAAAAAAACAACACAATGTCCAAGAACAGATCATCCTCCCGGAATTTGCCTTTCCTGCAACCTGCCCCGAGCCCTCCTGGAACCTCCCCCCGTGCCCGCTCCAAACCCATTGCATCGACCCTGTGGGTTACGAGAAAACCAGCCTTGACTCCAGGCAGGTTTACTCCAGGCAGCAAAATACGTGGGTGTGTCGTTTTCGAGGGACCTTTTTGAGGGTGGTTTGCGATTGGGGCAATAAAGGGAAACTACATATTTTGTGTCGTTTTTGAGAGGACCCTGAAAAAGGCGGTTTTCCTTGTCCCTTTAAAACCACCCCAAGAGTACAAAGCCACCCTTTTGTCGGAACCTTGTCCTGCAAAGCACCTCTGCCCCATTTGATCACCTTACCTAAGTTTGATCAGTGGAATGCTACGAATTCCTCACCACTTTCTTTTGTCAAGCCTCAAACATTCTAAGGAGACTCATGTTCAACCGGCCGTCCTAAAAAAAGGCTGCTAACATCAGACCAAAATGGACTTCACTTACAGTAGATGATCTAGGGTGATGGCTGAATGATTAGTAAGCCTAAGCCAACTGAAGGAAACTCTGGTTAATACTAACCCTTGGACAATCAACCTGGTGAATGACAAGGAATGCTTCTCCCCCAGAGTGAAGGAACCTCTCTTAACTGGGGCACCCTGCCTATCTACTCGTCAGGGAAGTATTCATCCTGGCTTTACATTGCCACTCTAGGTAAATCCTAGTTAAGCAAGTTCTACCAACAAACTTCAAGTAGTCTGGCAACACTGCCATCGATGGATGTCCAGGAAGGGGCAGTTGCAAGGAACATAATCTGGGTGTGTCGTTTTTTTGGGCTCAAAATGGCGGCTTTCCTTGTGGTTTCCCCATTTGAAGCCACACAAAAGGGGTACCGAGCCTCCAAGGAACTCATGGCGTGCACCCGTGGCCCCGGGCTTGCCCCACTTGGTCTTCGGGTGCACGTGACCGATAGGCGACCTGACCGATCCGATCGTGCGAAATGGGGCTCGTCCCTTTTTCTTTGAGCCATCGACCTTTGGTTCTACCAAGACGGTCCCAGAGGTTTAGCTCATGTATCTCGGATTTACTGAAATCACCAATGACATCAGGTAGTAAAACCACCAATCCATCTTAACCCCAATGGAATCAGGTAGTAAAAAACACCATCCATTTTTACCCCAATGAAATCAGGTAGTAAAACTATCAATCCAATTTAACCCCAATGAAATCAGGTAGTAAAACCATCAATCCATCTTAACCCCAATGAAATCAGGTAGTAAACCCACAAATCCATCTTAACCCCAATGAAATCAGGCAGTAAAACCACAAATCCATCTTAACCCCAATGAAATCAGGTAGTAAAACCATCAATCCATCTTAACCCCAATGAAATCAGGTAGCAAAACCATCAATCCATCTTAACCCCAATGAAATCAGGTAGTAAAACCATCAATCCATCTTAACTCCAATGAAATCAGGTAGTAAAACCATCAATCCATCTTAACCCCAATGAAATCAGGTGGTAAAACTATCAATCCATCTTAACCCCAATGAAATCAGGTAGTAAAACCATCAATCCATCTTAACCCCAATGAAATCAGGTAGTAAAACCATCAATCCATCTTAACCCCAATGGAGTCAGGTAGTAAAACCATCAATCCATCTTATCCCCAATAAAATTAGGTAGTAAAACTATCAATCCATCTTGACCCCAATGAAATCAGGTAGTAAAACCATCAATCCATCTTAACCCCAATGAAATCAGGTAGTCAAACCATCAATCCATCTTAACCCCAATGAAATCAGGTTGTAAAACCATCAATCCATCTTAACCCCAATGAAATCAGGTAGTAAAACCATCAATCCATCTTAACCCCAATGAAATCAGTTAGTAAAACCATCAATCCATCTTAACCCCAATGAAATCAGGTGGTAAAACCATCAATCCATCTTAACACCAATGAAATCAGGTAGCAAATCCATCAATCCATCTTAACCCCAATGAAATCAGGAAGTAAAACCATCAACCCATCTTAACCCCAATGAAATCAGGTAGTAAAACCATCAATCCATCTTAACCCCAATGAAATCAGGTCGAAAACCATCAATCCATCTTAACCCCAATGAAATCAGGTAGTAAAACCATCAATCCATCTTAACCCCAATGAAATCAGGTAGTAAAACCATCAATCCATCTTAACCCCAATGAAATCAGGTAGTAAAACCATCAATCCATCTGAACCCCAATGAAATCAGGTAGTAAAACCATCAATCCATGTGAACCCCAATGAAATCAGGTAGTAAAACCATCAATCCATCTTAACCCCAATGAAATCAGATAGTAAAGCCATCAATCCATCTTCATTTCAAGTAGTAAAAAAAAACATACATCTTACTCCCAATGAAATCAGGTAGTAAAACCATCAATCCATCTTAACCCAATGAAATCAGGAAGTAAAACCAGCAATGCATCTTAACCCCAATAAAATCAGGTAGTGAAATCAGGTAGTAAAACCATCAATCCATCTTAACCCCAATGAAATCAGGTAGTAAAAAAGCACCATCCATCTTAACCCCAATGAAATCAGGTAGTAAACAAACACCATCCATCTTAACCCCAAAGAAATCAGGAGTAAAAAACACCATCCATCTTAACCCCAATGAAATCAGTTGGTGAAAAACACCATCCATCTTAACCCCAATGAAATCAGGTAGGAAAACCATCAATCCACCTTAACCCCAATGAAATCAGGTAGTAAAAAACACTATCCATCTTCACCCCAATGAAGTCAGGTAGTAAAACCATCAATCCATCTTAACCCCAATGAAATCAGGTTGTAAAACCATCAATCCATCTTAACCCCAATGAAATCAGGTAGTAAACCCACACATCCATCTTAACCCCAATGAAATCAGGTAGCAAAACCATCAATCCATCTTAACCCCAATGAAATCAGGTAGTAAAACCATCAATCCATCTTAACCCCAATGAAATCAGGTAGTAAAACCATCAATCCATCTTAACCCCAATGAAATCAGGTAGTAAAACCATCAATCCATCTTAACCCCAATGAAATCAGGTAGTGAAATCAGGTAGTAAAACCATCAATCCATCTTAACCCCAATGGAATCAGGTAGTAAAACCACAAATCCATCTTAACCCCAATGGAATCAGGTAGTGAATCCATCAATCCATCTTAACCCCAATGAAATCAGGTAGTAAAACCATCAATCCATCTTAACCCCAATGAAATCAGGTAGTAAAACCATCAATCCATCTTAACCCCAATGAAATCAGATAGTAAAACCATGAATCCATCTTAACCCCAATGAAATCAGGTAGCAAAACCATCAATCCGTCTTAACCCCAATGAAATCAGGTCGTAAAACCATCAATCCATCTTAACCCCAATGAAATCATAAACCCACCAATCCATCTTAACCCCAATGAAATCAGGTAGTAAAACCACCAATCCATCTTAACACCTATGAAATCAGGTAGTAAAACTATCAATCCATCTTAACCCCAATGAAATCAGGTAGTAAAACCATCAATCCATCTCAACCCCAATGAAATCAGGTAGTAAAACCATCAATCCATCTTAACCCCAATGAAATCAGGTAGTAAAACCACCAATCCATCTTAACCCCAATGAAATCAGGTAGTGAACCCACAAATCCATCTTAACCCCAATGAAATCAGGTAGCAAAACCATCAATCCATCTTAACCCCAATGAAATCAGGTAGTAAAACCATCAATCCATCTTAACCCCAATGAAATCAGGTAGTAAAACCATCAATCCATCTTAACCCCAATGGAATCAGGTAGTAAAACCACAAATCCATCTTAACTCCAATGAAATCAGGTAGTAAAACCACCAATCCATCTCAACCCCAATGAAATCAGGTAGTAAAACCATCAATCCATCTTAACACCAATGAAATCAGGCAGTAAACCCACCAATCCATCTTAACCCCAATGAAATCAGATAGTAAAACCATCAATCCATCTTAACCCCAATGAAATCAGGTAGTAAAACCACCAATCCATCTTAACCCCAATGAAATCAGGTAGTAAACCCACAAATCCATCTTAACCCCAATGAAATCAGGTAGTAAAACCACAAATCCATCTTAACCCCAATGAAATCAGGTAGTAAAACCACCAATCCATCCTAACCCCAATGAAATCAGGTAGTAAAACCATCAATCCATCTTACCACCAAAAATCAGGCAGTAAACCCACCAATCCATCTTAACCCCAATGAAATCAGGTAGTAAAACCACCAATCCATCTTAACACCTATGAAATCAGGTAGTAAAACCACAAATCCATCTTAGTCGAGGATGTCCAAGGAAGTCATCGGGTGGGGATCTGCCCATCAAACCCACGATCCCTTCCCTCGTCAGCCTGGAATCGACCCTCAAGAACTTGGATTTCTGGGCAAATATAGTCACTAGAGGGTAATAGAGTCACTAGACTTCCGGATGAGACTCTTAATCTCTAGACTTCTTCATTGCTCAAGAAAGTCTCTCCTGGTCGAACATTGAAGAGAACGCTTTCCCATTGGTCAAACATGGGCTTTTGTTTCAAATCTACCCAAACCTCCCACCAGGGATCATCAAAAATGCACCTACTGGGTGCGTTCCTCTCGGTTTGAAGCAAGGTTGGGGGGGGAGGGAACTCTAATTTAAGACACATATCCCACATCAAACCAAAAGGCAAAAGAGAAGCAAGCCCCCAACCCGCCACCACCCCAAGCTCCCACCAGGAAAGGCGATGTTGACCCCGCATTCACAAACTGGTCCTATTGATAGGGGGGGTTGTTCCCCTCCGGAAGTGGCTCTTCCCCACGAAGGGGACAGCCCCCAAGTACTCAACCAGGGGTCATTCATCCGGGGTTAACGTTGTCCTCAGAAGAAGAAACACAAAACATCAAACAACAAAACATCAAAAAAAAACATCAAACAAAACAAAACATCAACAAACATCAAAACATGAAAACATATTATCCTCAACAAAACATCGAGCCACAAAACGCGGCACACACCACCGATCCGGGCTTCCGCGCTTGCCCTCTCCTCCACCATGGGCGTGGTCGCAAGCGTTCTTGGCGCTGCCGCGCACATGGGGCCGGAAGCCCAGGTGCCGGTTCTTGCCCGCCTCGATCCGAGGGACCCCATGGGTATGAGTCAAAAAAATTAGCCACTGGTCGAACGGTTGATTCAACTGGTCCATTCGTTTCAACCATCGGTTCTTCTCAAAAACCGGATCCGTTTCCAACCTGGATTTCTGGAGGCCTTCTAGAAAGATTCGGATCCCTGAATTCCGAATGGGCGAGATAGCACTAGAACTGGGGAACCGCAGGCTTTGGTCCATATTTCCCATTTAGGGCAAGCCATTTTGGGTACCAATTTCTGACCCACACCCAAATCGATCTGGAGGTTTGGACTTGGGAACACGGGCGAAGTTTGGTTTGTAACCGGATTTGTTTTGCCAAGGGAACTCACAGTTTGAGGCTTAGCAATTGTGGATCTCTGCCATTGCCACACTATAGTAGGTAGCCAGCTGCTTTCCTTTTTGAATGGGTTCATTGAGAAACCTGTTCAGGGAAACGGAATCCCTGGGCCCCCGAATGGCCATATCTACCGTGCCCACATGTTGTTTGAGTTTGGAATTGCACTGGAGGTCTGGGTGAGGGAGGGAAACCCGGAGTGGGAAATGGGGTAGGTGGGACTGGTGGTCTACCAGGATTCATAGGGCTTCTTCCATCCCTGGTGCTGGAGTTTATCCACATATGTTTCTTCCCGACAGGTGAGCTTGCAGGGGTGACAACTCTGCAGATTGACCATACAACCCAAACTGATCCAGATCAGGAGGTCCTGCGGTCTCTGCCTTCCCAACAAAGCGGCATCAGCTCTTGTGGATCCCTCTGCTTGGTTGAGCAAAAAAATAAAAATCTTAGCAGCTAAGTGGATTTGGATTTCAACCACTAAGCCACAAGCAAAAATACGTAAAATGGTTCCCAACAACCATGTCTTGGGGCATCAAGCAATGGTTGATGAACCCCAAGGAACCCATCCCATGTGTGTGTGGGATCTCAGGCGTCCGCACCTTTGTCACCAGTGTGGTTTCCCAGTTGCCCAACGGACCTGGAACTAAAAGGTCAACCCCTTGGGACCTAAAAGTGGACCAAAAGGAGGAAGCCAAAAGGTTAAAAGGTTGGCCAAGGGCTGGGTGGTACCCGCCTACCCCCCCCTCCTGTCTTACCCGGTCCTACCCACGTCACCGGAGCAACCCGGGCTCGGCCTTGCCGAGCTTGATCAGCTGCGCTTCAGTTCGCCCCACCTGAGCCGAACCGCACGCGGCTCAGAAAAGAGGGCCGAGGTCTGCTGGAACCCTTCGGGTCAACAGAGGCTCCCTTTGAGCGGGGAAAAAAAAAAAACGAGGAATCCCGTCCCCCTAAGAATACCCCCTACAAAAACAAAAAAACACTGGAAAACCAAGAGTTTCATTTTGTTGAATGTTTTACCCTCCCACCAATAAACATGGAACCTCACGTTCGAATACAGGACCCCCGTGTCAGGTTCTCGTGGGAGGGTATCTTTTAGCGAAAACTGTGAACATGTCTTACCAATGAGCAAATTAAGTGCAGGAACCGAATTCACTTAAGTGAAGCCCTCTGTTGAGTTCAGGGCGGAATAAATCGTGCATGATACCGCTGGGTAAATGGTTTGCCTTCCCAATGAGGAACACTTCATTGCAAGGGTAAATGTTTCTCGAAACGGGAATGTCAACCCTGGGTTTATCTGGAGGACCGTACTAATTATCGCTTGCCCAAAGGACCTCAAAGATTAACCTTTTGGGATCTTTACTAAACGTGGACCAACAAGGGAAAACCCAAAGTCTAAAGGTCGTCTTTGAGCAGCTGAGTCATCATGCCAACCACGGTCACGCGTCCCACTTCCGATTGCTACGCTCAATCTGCCAACTGAGTGCTTCCTAAACGTCAGCGGATGTGCTCCCATTCCACCCGCTCGGATTAAAACAAGCTGCAAAGCTGCAGTTTCACCGAAGGAAACGGTTGACCAATGTTAACCCCAGAGTAATAAACCCCTGGTTGATTAATAGGGGGGTGTCCCCTTTTAGTGGAGATTTGTCACTTTTGGACACCCCCCCCTAATAATGGGACGGGTTTATTAATCCTGGGTCAACATTAAGTCTCAAAGGCTTCTACGCATGTTACACGGGCGAGATTTTTCAGTATAACGCAAACGATCGGAGCCCAACAAAAGATACAGCCCGAAAAATATGGAAAAGGTTGGCCTCCGCTGATTTAGGAAAGCTACGGGATGCTGGCGGAAGTTCTCCTACGCCCGTGGAAATTCCCTGAAACCCGCCATGCTGCGCCATGGCTAGGAAGCAGCCAGCTGCTTGACGCACCATGTTGATCTGTGTCATGGTGCCGAAAGGGTGGTGCTGTTGTCACGTGCTTTTTTTGAGGTTGCCGTGTAAACTCAAAAGGCATCTTACACCATACAAGTAAGTGGATGCCTTCTTCCAATCAGGTCATGCAAGGCCAAACCCGGTGCCAAGGGCGCCTTCGTTGACTTCCGGAATCCGGTGCAGCGAACTCGCCGTTTGTTTTTGTGGGTCCTGGCAAAAATGAGAACATTTGTGCAGTAGTGACAAATCCACAAAACCAGCACGGGAAAACATAACATATGCTCAAAAAGAAGTTGCAAAACGACCCCGGATTAAACCCTTCCCAACTTAATATTGGGATCTCAACTTTTAGGGGGGTTCCTCAGCGACTGTCCGCTCGCCTCTCTGGGTTCCTCTAGCACACGAGAAACATTAGCTCTCGGATTTTGTGATGCGAGCGGACACAGAAGCCCAAAGGATCCCTTTGACCTTTGGCCCCTTTACCCTTTGCCACGCCCAATTTAACGGATCCGGCCTTGCCGATGGTGCACCAGCACTCCTTCATCATCAAACGCACCTGGAGGGTTGAGAAGAAATCGACCAAGGCGATTCGTCCGTTGCTTTTGACGCCGTGGGTCCTGTAGATTCCTTGGATTTGGTGCAAGTGCTAGTGTTCTCTTGAATTGGTGGAAGTGGCATCTGAAATGTAAACATGGACCCTCAACCTCCCCTTTCAAACAACGGAAATCACCCCATTATGTTGAACCAATATCGCATGTTTATGGGTAGTTTGAGGGTCCTGGGACCCTTATTGATTCCTGGTCGACCATGTTCTTCCAGGGTTGGTATAGCTCGGGTGCTTAACAGGGGGTCTGGAAAACTCAACAAATCCGCATTCACTTTGAACCACCCCAAGAAGGGTGCAGGCCTGGAAAGGAACTCACCAGGTTTCCTATACACGGGGCAGAAGCCTGTTCGACGAAGACAGGCTGAGAAGGATAGACCTAAGTGTGTTTGTTACCTTCATAGCAAGGCAAAATGAGGTGGCTGGGAAAGACTCCGACAAATTGCTTCCTTGACTGCTGCCAGGTAGGGTTCGGTCACCTTTCAGCGGACTTGGAACTTTCTCGCACGGTCCTTGATTTTTCTCAGTCCTCTAGTCATGAGTAAGGTTGCCCTCGAATAGCTGAAGTGCACCAGTCGACACCTTGCCAAAGAAGTTTCCAGTCTTCCGGAAGCGTCTTACTCCTTGATGATTCCATTTCCCTGTGCCAAGCTTGCCTTTAACAGGGATCCTAACATGATACACCTGAACATTGCAACTTGTAAATGGTGGTTTCCCTTTATTTTGGTGTTGAAAAAGCCATGTTTCAAATGGTGGCAAAATGTATCGATCTTTCAAGGAGCCCTGTTTAAGAACCCAAGGTATGGATAGGCTTACAGTGCCATCCAGACCCCCGGGTTGGATTTGAAAGCTCGAAAGCGCCTTTCAACTTTTTTCACCGGCCGATTCTATTCGGGCACTGAAACAGGAGTCAGTGAGTAACAATCAGATAGCATACCCATGGCTACAATTAGCGCACACATTTAAGGAGTTCCCAGGAAATGGGTCGGCCACAATTGGGATCCATGTGCCCACTGACTTCGCTCACTATACCCAAACCTTGTTTAAGACTTCAAGGCGTCTTGCTGCAACTATTTTCTGGCAAGACTGCTTAGTCGGGGTTTGATTGCCGGACCCCATTTTCCACACTTCCCAAAAGTACATATGGGGGTTGATCAATACTCTGGCCCCCAAATGACCATGGGTAACTTTTCCCATGTGGTGAAAGTCATCTTGTTTGGTGATTTTCATAATGGTCACCCCATGTAAAGGACCTTTTGATCAACCCTCATATGTGTGTTCAGGTTCCTTAGTTCGCCTGGCAGGAAGGCAAACTCGCTGTGGAAGCTTCCCCCAGACTTTGGTTTTCCCAGAGGTGTCCCGACCCGTAAGACCCCACGTAAAGAATCCCAAAGGCTTTGCTGTATGTATGGCAATTATAACTGCCCTCAGCTTGATCAGGGGCTACCCAATCTCTATAGATAGATATATGTATATAAATCGCAATATAATCGTATATGTTTATATATCTAGGTAACAGTATGTATGTATGAATGTATGTATGTATGTATGCATGCATGTCTATACATTATTCCACATCACCCCTCTGTCACTGCCTTGACCGGAGAAAAACAAATAATAAACACATCACTTGAAATGGCCCAAAGGATGTGTTAAAACCACCCAAAGGCCAACTCTACTCGGTTGCTTTCTGCTTCCCTGCTAAAAGCTTAGCTTTCAGTGGTTTAATGGAACACCTTGTTGGCAACAAGTTAAAGTCCTAACATCCCTTGGCAAAATGCAGGCAAAGTCAAATGGGAATCCCGACTTGCGCGGGTTGCTGGGGCTCACCTAAACCCCACAAAGCGCTGCGACCGCCTCGCCGCTGGGCATCTTCACGGTCACGTAGTCCCTGTCCCGGGACAGCACCTCGAAACGAAACGAATACATGTGTGTAATGTAAATGATGTGTATATCATATCATTCTCCCTGATGCACCTGTTTTTTCATTCATTCATTCATTCATTCATTCATCCATCCATCCATCCATTCATTCATTCATTCATTCATTCATTCATTCATTCATTCATTCAAACTACCAACAACCAAGGGTTTCGACCATGGTCTCAAAGTGGCGCGAAACGGACTTCGTCCATCCACCGCGTGTGATGCGCTCAACGAGCTTCAGATCCTGCAACTTGCCCAGGCTGGAGATCCATCTTAGATATACATATATATATATATATGATGCGGAGACCTGAGCTCTGCAGAGCTTGCTGGGCAGCTTGCAGCTCCTCTCTGTTGGAACGTCTTCCCGTCTCCCCCTGCTAAGAGTTGAACCCTTCGTGGGCGAAATGGAAACCCAACCGCACAACTAACTAGCAACCTAAAACCTAAGGAACCGGATGGCTGGGAACCAAGCGACAGCTTTGGCCGTGGAGAAAACCCCGTGACCTTTTAATTGACCCTCAACACCGTTTTCGCTTTTTTCTTCCTCATCGTTTTACAGGTAATTGGAAGCATCGGTGTTGGATGATAATTCTGTAGTAGTAGTAATAGCAGCAGCAGCAGCAGCAGCAGCAGCAGCAGTAGTAGTAGTAGTAGTAGTAGTAGTTGTACTAGCTTCTTATAAAGCTCCTTACAAAGCTTCTTCTAAAGCTTCTTATAAAGCTTCTTCTAAGCTTCTTATAGAGCTCCTTACAACGCTTCTTCTAAAGCTTCTTATAAAGCTCTTTACAACGCTTCTTATAAAGCTTCTTAAAAAAGCTTCTTATGAAGCTTCTTTATGGAGCTTTACAAGTTTAGAAGAAGCTGTATAATACTAGTACTAGTACTAGTACTAGTACTAGTACTAGTAGTAGTAGTAGTAGTAGTAGTACTCGTGCTAATACTAGTACTAGTACTAGTCCTAGTAGTAGTAGTGGTGGCGGCGGTGGTGGTAATAATACTTGTAGTAGTAGTAATAATAATAATAGAAGTAGTTGTAGTCGTAGCAGTAAGACTAATAGTAATAAAAATAACAGTATGCATAGTAATAATCATTGTAGTAGTAGCAGCAGTAATAGTAGCAGCAGCAGTAGTAGTAGCAGTAGTATTACTGTAGTAGTAGTAGTAGTAGAAGTAGTAGTAGTAGTAGTAGTAGTACGAGTTGTAGTAGTGGTGGTGGTGGTGGCGGTGGGAATAATAGTTGTAGCAGTAGTAGTAGTAGCAGTAGTAGCACTAGAAATAAGGTAACAAAAGTAGTAGTAGTAGTAGTAGTAATAATTGTAGCAGTAGCAATAGCAATAACAACGGTACTGTTGGACGGACGGACAGGCGCGCCCGTCCGACGGGCGCCCGTCGGGCAAGCGCCCGTCCGACGGGCGCCCGTCTCACGGGCTAGTAGGAATGTAGTAGTAGTAGCAGGAGTAGTAATGGTAGAAATAATGATAGTAGCAATCGTAATAATAATCGTAAGTGGTCCTGTGGTGGCTTGAGGCACTTCGGGGCTGCTTCAGACATGTTTCGAGCTGTTTCGGACTGCTTTTTGAACCCTGGGCAGTTCCAGTTTTGTGCCCCTGTCTCTTGTTGCAATAGTAGTAATAGTAGTAATAGTAGTATAAGTACTAGTACTAGTTGCATTAATTCTCGTAGTGGTAGTAGTAGTAGCAGCCTGTCAGACGGGCGCCCGTCGGACGGGCGCTCGCCCGACGGGCGCCCGTCGGACGGGCGCGCCCGTCAGTCCGTCCAACAGTACCGTTGTTATTACTGTTGCTATTGCTACAATTATTATTAGTCATAAACTACTACTACTACTACAGCTACTACTACTACTATTAATAAACTAGTAGTAGTACTTGTACTGCTATTACTACTATTGCGACAAGAGACAGGGCACCGCGTCAAGCTTCAAAACCGGAACTGCAGGGCTCAAAAAGCGGTCCGAAACAGTTCGAAACATGTCTGAAGCAGCCCCGAAGTGCTTCAAGGCGGGCGCGGGCGCGGGCGCGGGCGCGGGCGCGGGCCACAACAGGACCATTTGAGCAAGTTACCCAACTAGGAGTACTATTACGATTGCTATTACTTCTTTCTACCACTACTACTGCTACTGCTACTGCTACTGCTACTACTGCTGATGATGATCATGATGAGGATGATGATGTTCATGATGATGATGATGATCACGATGATGATCATGATGACGATGATCATGATGATGATGATGATGGGCTATGATGATGATGGTGATCATGATGATGATCATGGTCATGCTGATGATGATGACCATGGTGATGATGATGATGATTATGGTGATGATGTGTGTGTGGGTGTGTGTGAGTGTGTGTGTGTGGGTGTTGGTGGGTGTGTGTGTGTGTTGGTGTGTGTGGGTGTGTGTGGGTTGGGGTGTTTGTGGGTTGGGTGTGTGTGGGTGTGTGTGGTGTGTGTGGCTGTGTGTGTGGGTTTGGTGTGTGTGTGGGTGTGTGTGTGTGTGGGTGTGTGGTTGGGTGTGTGGGGGTGCGGGGGTGTGTGGTGGGGTGTGTGGGTGTGTGTGGGGTGTCTGTGTGTGGTGTGTGTGTGTGTGTGTCTGTCTGTCTGTCTGTCTGTCTGTCTGTCTGTCGGTCGGTCTGTCTGTCTGTCTGTCTGTCTGTCTGTCTGTCTGTCTGTCTCTATCTTCAACTTATCAATTCATTTATTTATTATCATTTATTCATTTTTTATAATTACATATTATTTATCAAAGGAAGTTTAACAAGAAACTTCCGTAGTACTGGAACTAAATGAGCTAGCTGCTTTGACATATAGCTATGACAGGTAGCTAGCATGACAAATAGATAGCTTTGACATATAGCTAGCTTGACAGATAGATAGCTTTCCAATAGGCTAGCATGACAAATAGATAGCTTTGACATATAGCCAGCTTAACACATAGATAGCTTTCCAAAGACTAGCATGACAGATAGATAGCTTTGACATATAACCAGCTTGACAGATAGATAGCTTTAAGATACATGGATGTGCGCGAAAAAAGCTACGAGAAAAGCTGAAATCAGGAGAGCTGGGGGATAGCAAGTTGCAGAAACGTTGGTGCCATGCGTGAATTGGGCTTCCGGACAGTGCGCAAACCACCTCGGTCGCGACGCCTGTACGGAGGCGGTCTCGGAACGGTCCCGGAACGGTCTCGGAACGGTCTCGGAACGGTCTCGGAGACGGGACCATTGGCACGGCCGCGCGAAGGTTTCGCTAGGTTTGAATTGCGTGGCAGGTGCAGCACTTTCGCAAGGTCAAGTATAGATTTCGTGGCAGGCGCAGCACTTTCGCGAGGTCGAGTACAGATTTCGTGGCAGGCGCAGCACTTTCGCAAGGTGCTGCGTCCACTTTCTGCGAGCTGGGGGATAGCAAGTTGCAGAAACGTTGGTGCCATGCGTGAATTGGGCTTCCGGACAGTGCGCAAACCACCTCGGTCGCGACGCCTGTACGGAGGCGGTCTCGGAACGGTCCCGGAACGGTCTCGGAACGGTCTCGGAACGGTCTCGGAGACGGGACCATTGGCACGGCCGCGCGAAGGTTTCGCTAGGTTTGAATTGCGTGGCAGGTGCAGCACTTTCGCAAGGTCAAGTATAGATTTCGTGGCAGGCGCAGCACTTTCGCGAGGTCGAGTACAGATTTCGTGGCAGGCGCAGCACTTTCGCAAGGTGCTGCGTCCACTTTCTGCGAGCTGGGGGATAGCAAGTTGCAGAAACGTTGGTGCCATGCGTGAATTGGGCTTCCGGACAGTGCGCAAACCACCTCGGTCGCGACGCCTGTACGGAGGCGGTCTCGGAACGGTCCCGGAACGGTCTCGGAACGGTCTCGGAACGGTCTCGGAGACGGGACCATTGGCACGGCCGCGCGAAGGTTTCGCTAGGTTTGAATTGCGTGGCAGGTGCAGCACTTTCGCAAGGTCAAGTATAGATTTCGTGGCAGGCGCAGCACTTTCGCAAGGTATAGATTTCGTGGCAGGCGCAGCACTTTCGCAAGGTCAAGTATAGATTTCGTGGCAGGCGCAGCACTTTCGCAAGGTGAAGTGTAGATTTCGTGGCAGGCGCAGCACTTTCCCAAGGTCAAGTGTAGATTTCGTGGCAGGCGCAGCACTTTCGCAAGGTCAAGTATAGATTTCGTGGCAGGCGCAGCACTTTCGCAAGGTCAAGTATAGATTTCGTGGCAGGCGCAGCACTTTCGCAAGGTCAAGTGCCAAATTCGTGGCAGGCGCAGCACTTTCGCAAGGTCAAGTACAAAATTCGTGGCAGGCGCATCACTTTCGCAAGGTCAAGTACAGAATTTGTGGCAGGTGCAGCACTTTCGCAAGGTCAAGTGCAAAATTCGTGGCACGCGCAGCACTTTCGCAAGGTCAAGTACAGATTTTGTGGCAGGCGCAGCGCTTTAGCAAGGTCAAGCACAGATTTGAGCAGCCGGGGCTCGAAAATCGCAACTTTTAAGTACGAAAGTAGTACGCGAAGTCAACTTTCGCAGCTGGGGCTTGAAAATCGCAACTTTTAAGTACGAAAGTAGTGCGCAAAGTCCACTTTCGCAGCCGGGGCTTGAAAATCGCAACTTTTAAGTACGAAAGTAGTACGCAAAGTCCACTTTCGCAGCTGGGGCTCGAAAATCGCGACTTTTTAGTACGAAAGTAGTACGCGAAGTCCACTTTCGTAGCTGGGGCTCGAAAATCGCAACTTTTAACTACGAAAGTAGTACGTGAAGTCCAGTTTCGCAGCTGGGGCTCGAAAATCGCAACTTTTAAGTACGAAAGTAGTACGCGAAGTCAACTTTCGGGGATTGAACATCGCAACTTTTAAGTGCAGAGAAAGATGGGTAGATAGATAGATCAATAAACAGATATAGAGATAGCTAGAGAAATAGATAGAAAGAGATAGAGAAACAGAGATAGACAGAGATAGATAGATTTGTAG